GCAGCATCTTTGCTATATGCAGACTGCAGCGAGTCTCTTTATTGCACAGCCAACACTGCAAGAGGCCAGAAGGCAATAAACACCCAAGTCAGGAATTCCCGAGCTCTCACACGGGGCTAAAAGCTCCGGCGTGTTCCTTCCCCTCCTCCGTAAGGGTCCATAAGATCTAACAGTGTATTGACACCTCCAGGAAGAAAGGACAATATTGTCTTGTCCTTTTTAAAAAATATGATTGAATTAATAAGCGGTAGTCTAAAACCCAGCCCATGAGACAAAAGACCCCAACCAACCAAAAAAAAAATCCCAAACCCCCTAAAATCCAAGTAAGCAACCAGAAATCTAACTGTGATGAATGTGGTTATGTCACTCAACTGAAAACTCAGAGTTTGTAGAGAGTTTCTCTGACCTTGGTCCATCACTGGCATTGGCCATGTTAATACTCAACAGAAAGTCTACAGCCTGGATAAATATGTGTTTAGATTTACGGGAATGTGCATTCAGCATAAGTAAAATGTATTTTTAGGCATACGTAAAGTCAAATAATTTGTCAAGTTAAGTATTAATTTTATTTACCCAGTAGACAGTCAGGTTTTTATTATATAAATATATATCTAGGCACTTAAAATGTGAATATTTGACACAAGCCTGTTTGACAACTAGTGCAGAGCCATTCAAACGGAACAAAGATATTAATGAGAATCCGGTTGTTCTGTAACCCTCAGTGTAGGTCTGACAGCCGATCAGTGGTAAATTGGCATTGGTGGTTTATCGCCCTAACGAACCGTAACCGAATCTTTAGCACTCTTGCAGTTATAATATGCCAGTTTGGCTGCTAGAATTGACGTCCAACCAGAATAATGAAGGTATTACAAGCAAACCGTACGTTAAACAAGAAAGTTATTTTAATGATTGCTCCCCAAATACCCAAAGGCACTAGTCAACACTGTGGACTAATGACCTACAAATTTGTGTGATTAGTACACGTTTTTAGCATTACAATACTTTTTTCAACAGCTTCAGATGGCACATTAAGTGAAATATTTCTTCTTTCATTTGCAACAGCTTTGTCCTGAATACCCTTCCATTTGTTTAGTTTAATAGAAAAACGTATCAAACAAAAACTGAGCTGTAAGAATCATGCTGACCTGCCACACTCACTCTGCTGTCCTTTCTCCAGATATTCCTACAAGTCATACTGGATACACACCTGTGTAACTCCGAATTTATGTTGATGTAACTTCTCTAACATCAGTCAAATTACACAGCCAGAAAATGGAAGCGGCGCGGTGGTAAATCATTTCACAGATCTGCAGGCTCAGTGTAACACAACAGACGATATAACATCTCGACTGAGGACAATTTTACATCCCTTTTACCCATTGCAAAAACCTTTGTAATGTGTCGAGTATAAAGCTCACAAATTACATTTTAAAGGAACTACCATAACGTATATGCTTCGAAAAGACCTTTTACAACATAACACAAAATTCAAATGACATTTTTTAGGAAAGCACTTGAAACACTTAGGTCCTGACAACATTAAGCTGTAAACCTTAAGAAGTTTTATGTGATTAAATAAAATTAGCATTACAACTTCCAGGTATTATAATTGTTGAACAGATTGTAACAACAGGATATAATTATGATGTAAACATGAAGCTCAGGAGACTGGTACTGAGGAAACTCTCTCAATTCTTTGTAGATTTGTATCTGGACATAGCAAAATTGGTAACAAATGGAGAAGAGGTTACAATATTCTGTCTTACACATTGATATCAGTGTTTCGCAAGCAGCAACCTATACAGCATCATCCCCTTTTTAATATTAGTTTACAGAATCACAACCACCTTGAAAAAAAAATCTCCAGGTCAAATACTGCTGCCAGGTATCAATATAACACTTGGAAGGAAAGATTTAAAACCATCAGATTTTAATTGCCCGTGTATGTGTAGATACGTGAGATTTTATATATGCAAGCATATATAAAATCGTAAATCTCACTTCACCTTCAAAATTGAACTACCTCTAGGTAAGAAATACAAGACCTTTTTCAATAAATTTAAAGGGTTTATTTATACCTGAGACATTTTTGCATATTGATGTCTTTGTACCTTTACCTTTAGGTACTCACATAAGTCCTTTACTCTTTTTCTGGGGTGTCACACAAAGCCCATTACAGTTAGGTGGGTTCTTCCCACTAACTCCACGGACTTTGGCCGAGTCCTTCCTTATCTAACCTGGATGTATAAACAGAGACGTGACAGAATTAAATATATATATTTAAATAAACAGTTGCTGTACAAGCGTACAGGCTGGTTTATACAAATCCAGAGCTAGTTCACCATTCCTGACACTCTTCACAATGCCTGATCCAAAAAAAAGAATTATAGTCCTTTATACAGGGTGATACATGTTTCTACTTGTTGGTTAAAAACCCACCCTTTGAAACATTTCTCCAGGTAACGGATCACTGGCTATACATGACATGTTGAAAATGCTCCTTCTTGGCTGACCTGTTTCCCATTTCTTTAGAAAATCAACCCATTTCTCCACCCAGCAAGCAAGGAAACTCCGAGTGGAGGAGTAGTAAGTTGACGTGGCTACATGACATTAAGGTCACAGGCCAATGCAGCTGGACTGAGATTTTCAAACAAATTTAAGGAGTTTAGGAGCCGAGTTCCTCCTGAAACTCATGGCATTTGGATGCCTAACTCCCGCAGATTCATCGGAAAGTCCCGGCTGTGCCCAGTCCAGCTTTCAGCTCTTCAGATCACACGTACTGAGGGTCGAAGCACAAGCGTTAGCAGGGACATAACCTGCATAAGGCTCTTACAAAATTTCACAGTGCTATTTAATTTGGCAAATACCAAACTAAATTTAAAGGTTCCCTTTGTAATCCAAACAGCTCAATGAAAAATTAAAAAAAAGAAAAAAAAATAATCCACCATGTTTCACTCCATTTTGCTTCTGACAGGGGGAATTCCCTAGAATGCTTACATGCAAATCTAGTGTTATCATATTTGATAACATAGCAATTAGAATTTCAGATTTTATTAAATATAGTTTAGCCAATGGAAAGATATTAGTGGAAGTGAAATAAAGTGTGCTTTTGGACACAGAGTTGGACATATTTGAAAAATCAGCAAACATAATAGTACTGTAGTCATGAAAGACATCACAAAATGAATGAGCTTCCAAGTAGATTAGTATACCCTTCTTATGTTGCAGAAACATTGTTTTTTGCACTATATTTTACAAAAAAGAGTTGACTTAAGTGATGATGGTCAGCATAGTTGTCTTTAAACAGCTCTTTGTTCTACTATACAGGCATATAACGGGAAAAGGAAAGCTACATTTCACTGGCAATAGGACTTCATAGACCTTAGAAATTTTAGAAATGTTTGATTTAAAATAGTGGTACGTAGCATATTTCTGTGTAAAATAAATCAAACACTCTTTTCCAAGTAGCAGAAATTTCTAAGACCTGACACCCGTTGTAAATAGATAAAATGTAGTCAGTTTTTTTAAGGATGACAAGGAGGACACACAGTTATGTACCAGTGATGAACTCGTCGTATGACACAGTAACGGGTGACGCATCGGATACAGGAAACTCTACTGGTTGCATTTCCAGTTGGCTGTTCCAATTTTACAACCACAGCCATTCTAACTCTCCTTTTCATTCCTATTCCTTCTTGTACCGTATTCAGCATCTAAACCGGAGGAGTTTCGCCTTAGATCCACCTGTCCCAAACCTGCTCATACTGAAGCAAATGGTGCAAACCTCTCTGACCTTCGGTGCTACGAACAGTTTGCGACCCATCGGTGGCATAACAAGGGCGTATGTTTCCCTTCTCGTAATTCAGGAGCTCTCTAGCATGATTTCATTGCCAACAGCGTTATGACTTTCACGGAGCAACTGGCACAGGGAGGCACTTATGTGACATGTTTAAAACTTATCTTTGGTAAACACTCACACACACAAACTTGTAACTAATGTTTTACTTCCTGATCATAAGAGAAATCTTCATTTGCTACTAGTGTACGTGTGCAGGCATCTAAATATATACAGGACATTGCTAGTGTAAAAATATTTTTTCAAATGCCACTGCCAAGGGTTTGTTTTAATTCACCTAAAACCAGCGCAGTCCTGGGCTTTTTTGGTTTTTTCCTGACACCATTTACTATGCGCTGAAGCATCTCTGATCAATAACAAATTAGCAATAGAAAGCAAGCCCTATGTGTTCAATTTTTGCCTTCTTTCTCATTCTCTTACCTTATTCTTCGAGACCAATTCAATCAGAATAGTTGTATCTCTTACAGCCTTCATTATCTGTGAGGCAGATCCTGGGGTTCAACGCTGCATTACTTCAGCAGCCAAATCTCTCACTCGGCTCAGTGGGAATTTTGGATACACAAAAATGCGGAGTCTGCTCTTGGTAGGGATGTGTCCTGCTACCCATTCCTAAACAGTACTCTGGTGAGAGAGGGACCTCACGGCTCTAATTGGACCTGAACAGTGATCGGACCAGGACCTGTAAAGCAGAGCTCAAACCACCAAGAAACAGCCCATCGACGTGTATTTTCTAAAGGTGCTGCAAATAAATGTTGCTGGAACTGCGGGGTATAACTGATGGATGATCTACTCTAATGTACCCAGAACACTATCACTTCTAAAATCAGGTGTTTCTACTGAGAGGTATTTTATTGGCTTAATTTTTCATTTACACTATTTAAATTTTGCTTAAGAATTTTTTAGAACCCAGAACTTAGTGCATTTCATTTTATAAAATTAGAATAATTTATATCCTTCTCTTTTCATTGAAAAAAACAAACCAGTATAGCCCAAACACACGTAGGGGTATAAATACCTGATGAATGATAGCCGTTTCACTTATTTTACAATCTGCTTAACGCTGATTTAGACATTGATCAACCAAATAACTTTGGCAACTTGCACAAAAATATGTCCTTAAATCAAAACTGATGATAAAACTTGCTTTAATGAGGCCTTTATTACGGAGAGAACTGGAAAGAGAGAGGAGTGTAAGTGCTGAGGAGGTTATCGTGTTCCTAAACCATGCCGCTTTGCATTTGTATGTGAAATGGGTAGGGCTGGTAGATGATGGGTGGTTGTCCATGAGCAATGTAGTAATTGCTGAAGTTTCTGTCACTGATATACGGAGCAGGCTGATAATAGCATGTTACATTGGCTGCGTTTGGGATGATATTTTGTTCTCCGAGCACTTTCAAAGCCAGAATTGTGATCATATTCAGAGTTTGTCTTCGTTCATGTCCCATGAGACAGACTGTGCTCTCGTTTACAACTCCACGCAGAGTCATCAAGTAGTCATACTTGCTTTTCTCTTCCCCAATGAAGTGGTTGCGCAGATACGACTCGATTTTCCTTTGCTGCTCAGCAACATCTGGAAAATCAATGAAGAACCTGGAGCACATGTAACGTTCCAGAGATTTAATTTCAGCCTCATCTGCTGGCTTAAAGTCACGAACCAGGAGATTGCTGTACTTCAGGAGGCCACCTCCTCTGATTTCCTCTGGGTTCCTTGTGGAAATCAGTTTGTATTTCAAGTGGTCCATTGCTTCGTTGAAGTCTCCGTACATACTCTCGGCGATGACAGTGGGGTGAGAGTCTTCTGTCAGTTTGCAGTCGGTCGCTCTGTAAACGTTTAATATGGAGTCCAGTATGATTTGGAAGGAGTCCACGCTAAACTCAAACTGCCGTCTGAGCGAGTTGACAAACTTTAATTCCACGTTCTTGCCGCTGTTGTTTGACAGCGAGATGAGACTCCAGCGATCGTGGTCGGTGGAGACTTTGACCATCTTCTGCACATAGGCATCTTTCATGGTCTGAGCAGTGATTTTTTCCTTATTAACACATTTTGGCAAGAAGTCCAATAGGCAATTAAGAACTGCTTCCTTAACGACCTGGAACTCGAGCTCACTTGGAAGTTCCACCCCAAAAATGATGTCTAGGTCCTTGTAACTGGTTCCGTTCTGCTTTACTAGGATATGACTGGCTGTCGAACCGTTCAGGCGGATATCTCTAACGTTGATTTGCTTTTCAATGAGCTGTTCCTTTACCACATGAATGATATCCTTTGGCTTTACATCCAGTGTTGGAAAATTTCCTCTCCCATGAATAGGTATGACCTCAGCTAAAACTTGATCCAGGATTTTAATCTGATCCCAGGTGAGACAACTAAATCTGTGGTCTAAGTCCTCAGTCATTGTGATGTCGGTTGCCTAACTAGGGAGAAACAGAAATTAAGAGGCAAATGTTAGAACTTGCTCAAATACAAGAGCACCTGACATTTCCCTCGGTTATAACAAACGTACATCTTCCTTCCTCAGTGCAGTGACAAAGCGGGTCGTTTCACAGACACAATTCCAGTTAACGGTCTGAGTCAACCACTGCACTTGTCACAGGCTTTTAATTGAATTTTAATGTACTCGGGTTTTAATCCTGCTGAGAAACCATTGTGGTATTGTATAATCCATGACTCAAAGTAAACGCAGTAAACCGTATAGACTTCATTTAAAACTACTCAAAGGTTAATAACATGAAATACTTGGTGAGTATAATGAAACTCCAAATAAATTTCACTGTGAAAAGCTAAAATGAGCAAACCGACCACATTTGTTCTTTCTATCCTGCCTCGAAATCTCCCTCTGTCTGCAGTGACTTGCACACTTGAAATGACTGAAAGACTGGGAAGTTTTTTTAAAAAGCAGAGCTCATTGTTTAGCCATATGCCTTGGACGTACCTTAGTCTCTATGGATCATCTATATGCATGCATCCTTTAATACCACTTCTTATGTTTAAGAACTGGATCTCCGATATTGTTAAGCTGTTTCCACTCTGTTTCTGCGGCAAATTGTTTTCTTCTAAGCCATTAACCGTGTTCCTACATTAATTTACCAATGCTGCAAGTTATGGTTTGCAGAACCGACAAGAAAACCCCTTCCAGTCTGCACTGATAATCTAAAACTTCTCAAGAAAGCCTGAAAAGAGGCACCTACAGAATACATGGGATAAAGCTCAGGCTCTGGAATTCTTCAGTTTGTATCTTGTCTTCATATCATCATATTTAGCAATCAGATGGACCTTAGCATGGATAATTTATTTACATTTTACAATGGGGGGGGAAAAGGTGCAAACCCCACAATATTGGTTTTAAAATGTTTCTAAATGACTATATGCAAAGTTTATTTTAATTAAATTTTTGTAATGGGAATCTGAATGCTTTATTTTTAAAATTTTATTTATGTATATTGTAAATATAATTAAACATGATAATGCAATTATATAATTAGGTGTGATTACAGTAAGTAAATAAGTGCATTTAAGGAACTGCAAAAAAGAACATTGTTGGGCATTAGGTGTCCAAGGTGTAATGAAAGATGCAAATCGTCGTCTTACTGTCTCCTGACATTCATGTCAGTGTTATGGAACAGGAGCAATTCAGAGGGCTAAAAAACTTGCAGAATCCACGGCCATCATTTCCTGCTGCGTCCTGGCCATCCTCTTGCCTGCTTACACTTCCTCAGTTCTCTTGGGGTAGTTACCGCTCAGACAGTTAATCAGAAAGGGTTATTGCTGAATCCTATCAGACCATTTTTCAATATCCTTTCAGAAATCGCATGATAACTCACAGGTAGGTATTGCGATTCACTAATAACTTCCTGATTAAGCCCAGTGCTTGGCTGCTGTGCCTTGAGTTTGAAGCTGTGTTTGCTGCTCTGAGCTACAGGTGAAGGAAGAGAACACTTACGGACATAGCGAGACCTTTCCTCATCGCTCAAGAGAGCAAAAATTCTTTAGTCAATATGGCTATTTTGGGCATTTCTTTACTCTACTGAGTAAGATGTGGATATCCTCAACCCAGGGGAAGCTGCTGTTTAGACTGTTTATGGGTGGAGGTACAGAGACTGAAAACAACTTTGATTACTGAAAGGAATTTCTTTTTTCTGCACAAACATAATTTTGCTTTCTCCTTTAATGTTGCATGTGTTGGCTAAGTTTTACAAATATTTCTGTTGGGTTTGTGCAAGCTCAGTTCAGAGAGAATTCAGGGAAACTAAAAATAATTTCAAAGTAATTGCAATAAAGTATTTGTTACATAGCAAGGGGGTTTAGATCATTGCTGTTGAAACACTACCTGAGCACCTAAAAAGAATACAAAGGTAAAGATAAGTATTCCTTAACGCTGCATACAAACAGCATGGGAATTATACCATGATACTGAACTTCACAATCTATTTTCTGCAGAAAAACTATGAAATCCCTTGCAGGTAGATGGCTGTTTCTCAGAAGGCAGCAATCGGGCAAAGCGGAGTCTCCCAGCTGGGCTGAGGCAAAGCTGGACTTTGGAGGGACTGAAGTGCCTGGGGATGCCCAGCTCAAGTGGTGGTCAGGTGTGATCTGAAATGGCTCAGTGAGTCACCAGCCGCGTGAAAGAAGTGACTTTCGGGTGTCTGCCAACTCTGTCAATGTCCTACCGAAACATCGAGAAATGTTTCTGCAGGCAGATGGCTAAACCGTATTTTTTCAGCTAAAGCTCAAGAACAGAAATAAAGTAAAATCATACTGAGTAATAACACTACTGAAAAGTCTACACTGTTGTTTCTTAATCAGTAGTGACTACATATGTACATTGTCATATATTTTCCTTCCCTCGCCTTCAGATTCCACATTCTGGAACATGTTAGTAATTTCAAGTAACTTGTGAACTGACAAATGGCGTGGGAATGTGGGAATGTTCCGGAGTTATTTTTCCCATATTTTCACTACAGTTTCAGCTCCCAAGTAAGCTAATCAAGAGCACGCATAATTTGAAGCACCTTTCTGGCCTCAGTACAAAGAATGGAACAACCCATATGTTTGAAGTTAAACGCACGCTTTAAAAGTTGGCGAAATCAGGACCAACGTTGGGAGTTTGGTTGCCCCTGAACCAACGGTGTGAAGGTCTTGGATTCTGTCCTATAGTTCTGGCACAACCATGTTGTTCATGACATTGTTTACGTTGTATGTAACTCCATATGCATAACATGTAACTGTATAGATATTTGTATACACACATTCCTGCGGGCATTTAGAAGACAGGACATTTGAACCGACAGGGAAATTGCCACCCATAGCACTGCCCACTTTACATGCCTATGACTTTACCAGTAGCTATTTATTATGATGATTCCATGCTTATTCCTTTATTATCCCAAACTATTATTATGAAAAACTTCTTCCTTCATAGCCCTTACGACATCCCAGTGCATTTTTAGCATCCAAAATAGATGTTACGGAAAGCCACTGTGAATTTTGGAAGTAGCATAACCCTGGGTGGAGTGAGAAGGTTGGCAGGAGAGGTTTTTGTATAAACTTTTTTGCTGCCTTGTTTGTCATCTCTGTTTTTGATACGTCAGATTATGGTGGACCAGCTCTACTAGCAAACTTATAGTTGTCAGAATTGTTGTAGAAGCAGTCGTTTTTGTTACGTGATTTATCTGATACTGCAAAACTTTGAGAGAGCTTTTCAAGGTTAATGCTGTGATGTAAAAGAAAGGGCTTAGAGAGGGACTGTCGAAATTCAATCCCTTTTTCAGCAGAGGGACCCTCTTCAAACACTTTTTGAAAGTCGGAAGATGGAAGTATCCCTAAATAAGCTTAGAAATCCTTCCTTTATTGCTACATGGTTTCAGTTATTTTGGATTTTATTGCAATATACTAAGATTTAAAAATGACAGGAAAAGGTAATGTCATTAAATATTTCTTTTGTGTTGAAGAGTCGTACCTCAAAATGTCATTCCTCTAAAGTGATGCCTGGAGAATCCAGTGATGCTTTGTGAGTTCACAGCCTCAACATTGATGTCTGAGAAATGTCTTGTGATAAATACTAAGAATTCTGTGCTGAAATAATGCCTTCAACTTTAGCCAGTAGGGAAAATGTCCTAGGAAAACCAGGGATTAAGTTGTCAAGAATATACCTAATTTACAGATAGACCTAAATAAACTTTATTTTTATTTATTTATTTGTTTATTTGCTTCCAATTTGCAACCTAGTACATAACTCTGAACTTTCCTAGAAGGACTTTCTCTTGCTCTTTTTCTTAGTCTTGTCTGGCAACAAGAACAATTTCCAGGCAATTTTATAGTCATTAGGAACCTTATTTCTTAAAGCAGTGGCAAATTTATTTACCGAGGTGCTCAGGCTGACGTCAGGAGTTCTTATTAATGCAAGTAAGCCTCAGTTACAATAAATCAGCAGCAGTATTGAGGCTACAATTAGTCAAAGCATTGTGTAAACCAAGAGGGATCAAGGGATGAAGGGAAGGCACCTCACTGCACGTGGCCACAGCAGCCGGGCGAAGCTGAACACAAGCGAGTGTTGGGGCTGGGTCAGATAATAGGGAAAAAAGGCTGGAAAATGGCTTCATTCTTTGGAAACTGGGGATGTTTGCAATGGAGGATGATCGCTGGAGGCAGCCAAATCTGACTGCCCCTTTGCCACAGCAGCATTATGCCACTTAGGGTAACCGTATATGCAACATTGACTTTGAGAGCTCCTTCTTGCCGGCAACCTCAGGCTCAGCCTTCCCTGGGTCTGCACCCTGACAAAAAATTCAGTTTCTGTAACTTCTTCCACATCAACACCTAAAAGCATTTCATGTGTTTCACATTCAGGGTTATCCTATCTTAATGTCCATCCATGGGCAAACAGAAGGCTGCATAAATGGTAGCACTCCGGCAGTAAAAGGAACAAATAGCCTTTGAAATTGTGTATTGAAAAGAAAGAGGTTTTTCCTCTATTCATCAGTATTTGTAACTTATTGAGTCTCTCTCCTAGTGATTTTTCTTAGTTGTTTTGCTTATGAGATTCAAAACGTTACTATAAACTTCAACGGACCTTGAATCCTGCCTGATTTAAGATGTCTGCCAGATAAAGTGATGAGGAAAAATAGTTGTCAGGGTGTTTTCTTTCACATATACTGGTTAGAGAAGCACAGAATAAGATGGATCAGGCCTAGTCAAGTTTTGTGATGTATTATCCTTATTATAAGGTTAGAAAAATATTTTCCTGACTCAAGTTCCAACTTGTCCTTGAGTGGTCACCTTCAGATGATGAAGTGGTTGCAATGTGGAAAAACGTTTAGTTCCTGTGGGATCATTGAACATAGTTTTGCTAATTTGTATTATTTATTTGTATATTGAAATTAGAGGCTCTAATTTTCTTCTGCAGGGTTTGGACCAAGCAACTACGACTGGTTTTACAATGATGCTAAAAGGTTTAGTCAACCACCTCTTAGCACTCTGCCATGCACCAGCTTCATCTAAAAAATAAAAGCAGATCTGGCTTTACATCTGAATGAAGAAAATCCGCCACGCTGATGATAGCTTTCATGTTCCACACAACTTTCATAGAAACAGATACTTACAGTCTAGAGGACAGTCTCATCAAATTTAGCTTGTATTTTACCGATAAACTGTTTAAGATTCTCTTTTTATCTACACTATAATGTTGCTTCAGCGTATTTTCAAAGGGTTTGCAATGTGCTGGCATTCTCAAGCAGAATACATCTGAAATAGTTTCTGTGCAGCTGTGTTAGCTCCATTCTCTTCCCGTTGCTTTTATCTGCTCCCCTATTTGTCTGTTTTACAACAATATCACATGGACTGCTTTAATGCTCCAATTGTCTTCACTTTGCTTGCACTTGAAACCGCTTGCGAAGGGACCTTTTACAGACCAAGCAAAACATCTTGTCAGCTGCTGTAACAGCCTTGATTTTGGGGGTTACCCCAGAGATGCTCACAGTAACTACTGCAATTCTCCCCTTAGATCTCTGTATTGGTTTTGCTGCATACACATTATATGCATCACTAATGGTTTCCGTGATATCTTGGTAAAGCTTTATTTTAATTCAAAGATATGTTTCTCTCTTAAGCTAGACATTTTAAAGTATTTTGCATGCTCACTGACTTAAGGACTGCAGCTGGCATTAGCTCTGAGGGCAAGAATGTCAAATATGGAAGGAGTCCCAGTTATAATTTAAACGCGTATGAGACAAGTAGAAGCTGTAAAGCATCTGGGGCATCCTAAATGGGGACATATTTAAACCAGTTTGACAGTGTTTTTCATGAGTTTTTCCTTCCATTAATGTTAATGCATGCAGTGAAGATACTGTTTATTTATCCTGTTATCATGAGATAACGCATGAGTTGCCATAAGTTTTCAGTACAGTTACCATCTAGTTACCCTGAAATAACAATAACTCAAGGCCATATGCTCTTCTCCTGTGAGATAAGGTTGCACGGCGTGCAAAATACACTTAAGCAGAAAGCAGTTTGCTTGGACTATGCCACAGAAGATCACCTTCAAGGGCAGAACAAGTAAGCAGAAAAGAAGGAAAAACTTTGTCGACAAAAATATGTCCTACCTTTTCTCCAACCCAACCCAAGGAACAGGGAAAAGCACCAGAGTCATGTTCCAGCCTGCACCATCCAAACGAAAATGGTTTGCTGAGCAGTAGGAGCCAAGGGCAGCCGTGCTCTCCTATAGCACAAACCTGGGAAAAGGAACCGAGTAGCCTCCACCTCTGCTGACACGTTACAGGAAATTGGCTGGATGAACGGGGAGTTCTCAGGAGGGACAAAGTAACTAAGGAGTTTAATTTGGGCAACCAGTACGAATACATAATCCATGTTATGTCATCCTGGAGATTTGGGTATTTTTGGATGTCGAATTTTTCCATCATGACTCATGGTACACTCCTTCTCAGCTGCACGTGGATTCCCTCACAGGGCAACATTTTCAAGGCCAGATATATTGTGCCTTTTTATCGGTTCCCACAACACACGAGGTTCCTTCTTACCTGGCCGCCAGGTTCAAACAAACCAAGCCCTTGTAAATAGCACGGTGCAAGGCACAGTCAATCTTCTCATTTGCTCTAAAATACTTTAATAACTTTAAAAAAAAATCGGTGTGATATGCATTATTTGGTCTATTTGGGGCTGTGGTTATCACTGAGAAGTTACTGCTTTAGGTAAAGATTATTTGTACTACCAAATGCATACTATGGACTAACTCCTGAATAACATTTCCAAAGAGAATGCAAAATCCCACAGACTTACCGTGGCAGGACGATTGGCAAGCATGTATTTCAGCGGAGTTAATAGGATGACTCACTGGATCCTTTGGTAAAAATATGAATTGTCATCTTGTCACTGACAAAAACACGAACCTCCCAAGGAAAGCTGCAGGGGAAAAAAAAACAACAAAACAAACCACCAAACAATAACATTCATTTTGAGATAAATGTTAACTACCAGTCACCTGCTGTACATAATAAATCATGCATTACAACTTGGCAGTCCTGCAGTCATAACAATAGCCTTTTAAGCCGGAAATGATAAGGTAAAAGCAGTGGAAAGGCATAGAAGTGCTCTGGGTTTCAGGTCATACTTAATCTTCTGCAAGGATGTAAACAAACTTGCTATTTTCTCTATGGGATTTTGAAGAAGAATATAGTATTATTAATAGACATGCAAATTAGCAGGGACAGAGAGGAATCATATTAAAAAATAGAACTACTAACAACTCAGCAAAATTAAATATTGTGAATTGTGTAGTGGGTTCATATTCTTTCTAAAAAGGCGTGCAGATGACAGGAAGGTCTTGTTTCCTGGCAGACTGGGTTGTTGGTTCATTTACAGTAAGCCCAGGATTCAGCCTGTTGCTGGAATTTCCACGCAGTGAATGGCCCGGTGACTGGCTCTGCAGGAATTATAACCATTTTCGTAAATATTTGTATGCTGCCATAAAGGCACTTTTTTATACTTGTTTCTCATTGCAAAGATGTGCTGACAGCTAGGTAGCCTTTTTTTAGGCTTTCCTTCAAAGACCTCCATTCCAGCACCGTCCTACAAAGTTCACAACACTTACACAAGGTTCCTTAACTATCCTGAATAGGGCCCTGTCCGCTGTACCATTTGATATACATGTGAATTTACTCCTTGTTGCTGTGCTGTTCCACAATCTCAACTTTTATGCTGAAGGTATATATGCTTCTGCGTAAAGACAGCTTTGCAAGTATGACTTGAGTGTAAATATATGCATAATCTGCAGGAAAAGCTGAAATAATAGCCCAAGGAGGTATGGAACGTATTATTCCTTTTATTAAGAATATTACGGACTTTTCCCCCATGCTACAGCAGCCAGATTTTTATCAGTGAGTATGCTGTTTTTACTGCTGCCAGAAGCCCAGTACTTGGTTTCCTCGCTCTCTGCCCTGCTGTGCCAGGACCTGTCTGCAGCTTTCATTTGCTTTCCAACTCATGATGGGCTACTAATTGAATGAATGCATGTTCCCTGACCTGCTCCCCAAATCCGTGCAGTGACGGCTCATGGTTGCAGCTGGGAATACAGGGTTTAGCCTGGCAAGGGCTCAGCTCTGCTTAGCCTGCAAGTGAGAAGCCAGTTATGTCTTCAATGGCAAGGAAAAGAGGTTCTGGACTGCTTAGATAAAAAGAGTCTCAGCATGTGGAGTCTGGTCTCCTGGAGGAAAAGTCAGACAAGTATGTAATCAGTTACTCAAAAAAAATCCCCATCGTTTAGTCTTTTTAACAATGAACTATTGTTATTTCTTTCTGTGTGAGAGTGGAAGGTTTAATGGATATATGATATCCATTAATGGATATATCATCATGATAGAATAGATTAACACTAGAGTAGAATTAATGGCTTCCCCTGGTGATATTTAGGGGAAGGAGAGAGAGACCTTTATATTTTTTTTTTGTGGAAGAACACCCATTATTATATAATATGTTCACAGAAGCAGCAGCAGAGATTGATGAAGTGCTTTGGCTGTTGGGACATTATTCTCAATGGCTGCCTTTTATCGGCTCCGTTATTACAGGAAAAAGCGCATCATTTCATTGTTCTGTACTCGTGGTTTCCAGGATTTTTCTAACTGAAGTAAAAACAAAAATAAAAATGACTACATCAACAATTGCCTTGTGTCTCAAAGAGAACATTTTCCTATTCCTGAGTTCAAAATGTGAATTGTGATGATATGCACCAACCAACTCATTTCTTGAGTCTCTGTGCAAAACGAGCAACAGAATATAATGAGAACCAGCAGGGTCTAGGAGATAACACATGGCGCTGCACCTTGGGTTTCCCCCTCCGACACGCTGCGTCACAAATACCGGTGGACAGCACGTTCCCAGTCGGTCGCTGCTTTTGGGTGCTCCCACTCCCAGGTCCCTCCATGAGGCACACTGACCCTCAAACCTGTTGGCTGCCTGCATCTCCCACAGGTTTCAGTGAGCATGGAGGTTGCTTGGACACCTCACCCACTGAACCAGGGCATTTCAAGGTGATTCCCCCAAGTTGGCAAGAACGAGAGCCAAGGATCCTCTCCCCTCTCCAGAAATGCTTGCCTCCCCCTTTCTGCCTGCCAGCTTCCAAGAACAGCGCATGATTGCTCTGCTTAGCTCCTCAGACTAATACCAAAATCTATTTACTCACTCAAGATACCAGTGACTCAATCCGAAGCTCACTTATCAAAACCTCTCATTATTATGACTAAACTGCAGCAAAAGCAGGCAAGGTAAAGAATGAAACAATCCTCCTTTTCCATCTATTAACCATCTTCATAATTATCTCTTCTCTTCAAATGCCAGAGGAAGAGGGATGAACTATGCAGCGTGCCATTACAGTCCTAATTCTGGGCTGTTTTCAGGGGATAGAGGGCATTACAAAGTCAAGGATCTCCTCAGAAACTCTCCAGAGGCTTCATCCCCTCATCTACACCACGGGAGACCCGGTGAGTTACAGAAGTGGCAGAATATCCCCAAGAACGTGTCTTGTGGGACGACCTTGGTCATGAAACCATTAGAGCATACCACCAGGTTTGCAGTCATGTCTGTTTTGAGAGGGTTCTGACACAACGCACACCGTAAATTGAATGGATCTCTTATTTTTTTTACCGATCATACCAAAAAATGCTGTGCCTTGCTGGAAGCTGCATTTAGCTCATTCAATCAATGCAATGTTTGGGGGTTTTTTTCTTCTGAATCAGTAATGAGCCATTGAAGCATTGAGGGTGGATTTTGATAGTACATACCGTAGTACAATGGATTTGGAGAGGTTTTGCTTGGGGTGAGACAGAAAGCTGAAGACAAAGGCACTCGTGTTCAATAAAGCCCTCTCTGCATCACTCCTGCTCTGCTCTGCATATTTTATAAAAGTATTTGCTATTAAGCAATTATCCTGTTTCACTCCAGAAGTATTTTCATTTTATGGCAGAAGACATGAACTCCGGGCACAGGCTCCAGGTTGATTTGTTAAGCAGTCTAGGATCCCTCCAAATAAGGCTCTTCGTGACTGCCACAGCAAATGGCCAGTTTAAATTGAGTCAGAAAAAACTTCCGTACCCTGGCCCAGGCTTGGCGGGCACCCTCCACAGAAATATGTCTCCCAGAACTGATAAAAGGGCAAGCTGGGGTCCTCGTCAATGATTACTATGTCTTCCACTGCTTGTTTATTGGTGTTTATAATGTTAACATATAATTCATATTTTTATGAATTAATTTCCATACTTATATTTTAAAGTTACTCTCTGACTACACAATACAGCAGTGGCATTTCTTTTCAGTGCTGTTTATGAGTTACATTGTAAAAGTGGGGAAGATACATGAATTACTTACAAACTTCAAAGCACTTGCTGCTCAAGAGTTTATTCGTAATTCTGCAGCAGTAGGAGTTAGGATTCCCCTAGAAAATAGCCTTTTGATAATTGAAGTCTTTTCCAGAGTTCTGTGATAAAGTAAAAAACTGCGTAACTCCACTCAACCTACGTCAGGAAAAAGGATTATGGCTCCAGCACCAGGACCAGGGTACTGCTACTCTTTCGTGGTGAAGGCAGCGTGAAATGTCTCTGTTGACATTATTACTAAAATGCAGAGAGAAGATAAAGCAATGATAAACCAAAGAAAAAGGCTAAGGCCCTGCAGCAAAGACATGTGTATTCGTGACTTTTCCATCACTATCAATAATGCATAACGACCATCATGGGGATGACGACACCAATTTTTGAGAAAGACTGAGTCAAGCTTTCTATCACCTACTGTGAAAAAACATTCAACGTGACATTGGATGTCAAGAAGACAGGACCTGCTAGATAAGCAAAGATCCAGTAGAAAAGGTAATGGAGAAGAAAATCAGCTGATGTTGACATAAATTGACATCTGCTGTACCAGTTTGTAGTGTTCTGTGGAGGAAAACCATTCTTTTGTTAATATGTACTGAAAGAAACACTTTTTAGGGAAACAAAAATATCTTGGCTAGAAAAAAAAAAAAAAGAAAATGCTGTTTTATCCATGAACAATTCTGCAACATGAAGAAGCCATGTTCAACATTATGCTCAAATCTTACAGCTACCTATGTTCTCCTTTTATGCACTGCACTCTAATTCTGCATGGCAGTAGACACTAGGTACGTTGCTGATTCCCTGTGGTTATCTTAGATTCTGTACTGATGCTTTGAATAATTACTTTTGCATGAAGATCGTGGTGGCAAAGGGGAAAAGCCAGACCATAACTTTCAAAAGATTTCTTTTTTTTTTTAATATTAGAATCCTAATGGCATCAATCCAGTTCTCACACCAGAAATTGCTCTGGTGTAAATGAGAGCAGAACTGGCCCGGTATGTGCATGGCTGGGCATGTGACTTCAGTAAGATAAATTCTGAGCTCACTTCCACTCTGCACAGTCCTG